TATTTTTAATTTAAATTATTATAAAAACACTTTTTTACAAGTTGCTCCAGTAAGCCAAAAATAATTTAATATTGTTACTAAACAATTAGTTCAATATTTTTTTTTCCAGCAATTTTGATACGAAATTTGAAATTTTATTAGTTTATCTTTATAACCAGACGATGAAAATAAAGTAAAAAACAAAAAAAAAAAAAAAAAACAAAAAAAAAGAAGGTCTTCAATATTATCTTAAATGTCTGGGCAGTTTTTTGCTTTTTGCCGAAAAATTTAAAAAGTTCTCGTTGACGTTTCATTATTATATTATATTTATCATTGAAATATAATACTCTCTGAAAATTTATATAAATACATATACATATATATAAATATTTAAATATGAGAAGAAACAAAAAAGTTGCTAGTTCTACATAACAAAACGAAAGAGGTTTATAAATATCTATAATAATAATTTCTTTTCAAGGCTTCAAAATTATTCAAAATTTATAAAGATTAAAGGCAAAAGCATTAATTTAAAATTTAATTTCATTTATCATCTACCTGATCATACGGTATTAAGTGAAAATGTTCTCTTGTGGAAACTTTCTTTCGTCAAATATGACAGTGGTCCAATCCCATTTCATTTTCAAAAGCATTCGCCCTTGGATCAAAACCCGTCGGTGTTACATATGTCATCAACTGGAACAAAACAGACAGACTGATGGACGGATAGACAAGTTAAGAATCACTTCCTGAATCGATCGTTTCAATAATCGATGGGTTTATCTCAAGCAAACATCTACACGAATTGAATACACCTTCTCGCCACGAGTGGTGAAAAAGCAAAATTCGTCGGACCACTACTCATTGAAGTAATATAATACAAATAAATGTATGTAAAATTATCCTTGAGTTCCGAATATTTTTCACATTCAGTTCAGTTAAATTTTATTGATTTGAATAGAAGCGTTAAAACGTTCTACTGTATGGGGCATAGAGCTCATTCTCTGTAAGAGAGCAGAGTTCTTTTTCCAGCTACGTAAATAGATTACCTTTGTAAGTCAAATAGATCCCTGTCGAAAATATATATATAGCTTGACATCTAATCTTTTGATTCGTAACAATTCTGAGATGGACAGACAGATGACTTCATAAAGTCTTTACATTCATTTAAAGGCATTTCTAGACCTCGTTTACAATCCTTAGACGATCTGTTTACTAATTATTTACAATGCATCTCCTGTTCTTGTCCGTTCGAGCACCACGGCTGATAGCTTCATCGAGATGACTATTGAATAGATATGCAGTTAAAAGCATTTCAAAAGGCGTCAATGCTTCTGGCAAGAAATCCGAATTGTGTAGTGGAGATATTGATGTCAATTAAATTTCTTTGTAAAAGAAGCGATTGCAGCTTTGAGAGATGCAGCCAAAGTGGCATGTTCCGCCAACAAATTGTTGAAGAGAGAGGATATGGAAGAATAATTGTATATCGAAGGTTAGTTTGGTGCTCTCGAAATAGCTGACCGTTTGCAAAAGGGTGCGTAACGCAACTGCACCAATATTCACTCTTTTCACTTGATCTTTTTACAGTGCCTTTATAATAAAATTTTCTGTCACGTTACGTAGGCAACTATCGGTAAGTTAACTTAAGCAAATTTCGTCAATATATCCAGAATTCCGGCGCATTTCACCAGCTGTGGCTTTCTACGTACAAAGATTGCTCTTTTATTTCCCAAAACACTTGTGGATGTGCCGATATATGCAACACCCACAAGGAGTTGAGATGAACTCGCTCTTTATTATACTGATCGGTTCACGAAATGGTTCTGAAGATTGTCTGTCCGTCTGTCTGTCTTGCTATCCTATTTAGCAATTTTTGGAATATTTTGATGAAATTTCGCGTACTAACGCTATTGGAAAAGGTTGGCATTTCTATGTTTAGTGAGATTTTCTTTTCATACCGAAAAACATTTGTGAAGCAGGAGTACATTAAGTTTGTGCCGATGAATGCAATGAAGAGGCGGCTTGTGATAGACTCACATTTTATTAAACCGATCGATTCAGAATCATTTTCTGAAATTTGTCTGTCCATCCGTCTGCCTTATTTTCTTATCTTCAACCTGCCGGTCGCAATTCGTGAAATGTTGCGATGAAATTTAGTGCACTGACTTGTTCTAGACCAAGGTAAAAGGTCAATGAAGAAGATTTTAATCGTTCCACTTTTTCAAACACTTCCACCATTGATAGAAGATATTTAATGGCGGGCGGTGCCTCGCCAAAATGTTTTCACTTGTTTTAGATTCAAATGTTTTGTAAGCCGTAGGCCGCCCCAAGTAAAGCATACTTGGCGAAAATGGGATGCTACTCCATGTGTAACATTCTTCGAAAATAATATTTTTTCAATGCTTTTAAAAAATTTTGTGCTTAATAGCCGCATCGGAAGTACTTCGAATGCTGTTCTGTTACTTTTCTTTCTGTTCTAAAAAATATTATTAAAACAACGCTTTAGTCTGCCAAGAGTCGCGAAGACTTACTTTATTGACTTATTTAATATTTTCTACAGCCAGGTTTCTTATATAAGTGAACTAAGTAAAAAACTTTTTTATTGCATGGCTTAAAACGTTGATATACTGTTTAAAATGAAAACCATTAGTAAAGACCGACAAAAGAGTAGAACAAGGTGTCACCACGCACCTTAAAAGTGAAACTTTATCCATAGGTTTCTAAATTTTTTTAAAATTCTTTTCCGTAGAAAAATTTTGTAATTTAATTTTACATAATTTATTAATTCGAAACATGATAGCCGTAAAACTTACAAGTATTTCTTAAGACATGCACCGCCCTTGCAATTACATTGTTTGATGTGTTTGTTACCTTACTCTTCTAAAAAAAAAGAAAAAAAAAAAAGAAACAGTACAGGTTTCATTTGAAAACGTCTCCTTTACTTGCGAAATTGAATATCTACCGCAACTCAAGTATATTCTGACTTCGTATATACATATATATATATGCATAACGTTTGCAAAAATTTACTAATTTTTGGGGGTTTTGATCAATTTTCATATGAAGTAAATATCGGGAGTCGCTTTGTTGAACGAACTGTTTAACAATAGCCGTTACATCTCTCACTTTGTGTGCAGAATATAAATTAGACGTGAAACGAACTTTTGAATTTATCCACAATAAAAATTGTTGTAAGAATGGAAGCACGATTCGAACAAGGAGTAAGTTTTAATGTGAAAGATAAATGTCTGCAATGATAGCAGCGGTAAGAGAGAAACATTGCACGTGCGAACTGTAACCAGTTTCTGGATGACTTCTTTTGTATGGGGCTGAATTTCTCCATTTTCAAAGCTCAAGATTCACTCCCTTTTTGTCCGTTTCTTGTCCCAATTGCATCAGCTGTTATTTTTGGTAACGTACATTCATAATTTAACACTCCCAGTTGGTGTTATATGGTGTCGCATGTTTCGATTGTTCAGACCAAATTCTACCCTCCTTCGTCACTTATAAGAAGTATTGGGAAATATAAGATTTTTAAGTTTTGCTAACATATTTGAATGTTCTTGGCGGTGTATCCTATAACAATCAGTCAGCATTCTCAGGTGAAGGAAACTCTTTTCCTGTTAGGCAGACGGGGAAACATCAAATCACATAAACGTTTTAATCAAATTTTTCTGGCGAATAGACCTTTATGCAACACTTAATGGGTATATCGAAGAGTGATGGCGTCGCATAAAAAATTATAATGAAATTGGAATTGTTTAAATGGATCGGAGATAATGAGTAAATTTTTTTTTCTTTTTTTTAAGCCTTGAAAAGAAAATGAAAACTTAATCATTAACTTGATTTTATTTTTTTTTTTTTAAAAAGTAAAAGCTTATAGATCGGTTTGTAAAAAGATAAGTACAGATCGAATCCAAGCCATTAGTAGTTTATTTTATTAAATATATTTGCTACATGAGATTTCATCTGATATTGACCTCGTAAAGTCATTTTTCCTCTAATAATCTTCTACGACTGGATTCCCGTGCCTCCAACATAAATGTTTTACTCTTTTCATATATGCAAGCTATTTACCTATTTATACCTTTATAATACATATAGATATCGTTTCTTTAAAAAAGCCCTGTTGTTGCAATTAAAAAAAATATTTAATTTTAAAAAGTAATACAAAAAACCAAAGCTTAGCTGAAGGGGTTTATTTATATTCTCTCCTTGCAAGGGTCGAAAGGAGATATTGTTAATAATCGATTTGTGAATAATTTACAGGGGATGATCGGTCGCGTTGGTAATATTCTTGGCATGACACAACAGCAGCAACAGCAACCACAACAGCAACCCTATGGTCAGCAACAAATGCAAATGGGACAGCAGCAACAACAGCAGTTACAACAACAGCAGCAACAAACACAACAAATGGGTGGCATGGGGCAAATGGGACAAATGGGTCAGCAAGGCATGATGGGGCAGCAAACACCGGGCCAAATGGGTCAAATGGGCATGATGGGTCAACAGCCGCAGCAACAACAAATGGGTCAGCAGATGGGTCAACAAATGGGTATGATGGGTCAACAGCAGCAACAGCCGCAACAGCAACCCCAGCCGCCTCCCGTAACAACGCAATCCTCAGGCGGTTTACTGTCCGGAGCAACTAGCTTACTTTCGGGTGCTACTTCGGCTGCCACCGGTGGTCTATTTGGTTCGAAACAACCACCGAAAACAGATCCAATGCAACCACAAGGCGGTGCGCAGCCAACGCAGCAACAATCAACCGGCCTGGGGAGTTTATTTGGCGGCGGGGCCCAGCAACAGCAACAGCAGCAGCAACAACAACAGCAAC